TTCATACCTGGGGTTTTGTCGGCCATTGGGACACATGTCATGTTTTTGAAGATCAAAGGAAAAGTCATGATGGAAAATTTTTGTTATAACAGGTCTCCCCATGGGAATTTACCATGTTTGTCCTCCTTATAATAGGTCTCATTATACACATCCACCTTGAAAAAGAAAGGGTTAGGATGTAGGCATAGCCAACAGGATGAGGTAAGATCTGGCCTGGAGAAATTAAGGCTTGATCAGCCATCTGTATCACAGAAAAGATAAGGTCCTCCATACCCAAGGCAGTGGGCCCTCCTATCCATGGCTGGAAATGTGGAGGCTGTGATCTTGTGACCCTGGGTGGAGGGGCAGTAGTCTCCTCCATAGTCTTACCAGGCAAAGAGTCTGGCACCTGAAGCAACCCCACTGTTAGTGGCTTCACAGAGGGGCAATTTTTTCCATATGGAGAATAGCAGCACTTGACCATAACTGGCCTAGTAGAGTATAAGTTCCCATAACATTCCAGTGTCCCATTTTCTTCCCCTTTTTCTTCCCTCCTCTGTGACCTTAACTGAGATGGGATTACAGCAATAGGCTGACATTTTCCCAAATAGAGGGTTGCATCCAGTTATGGGGTAAGGGATCCTTTGGATCTGAATGAGGCCCGTTTGAGTTATCTAATATCCTGTCCAAGTTTGTTTACAACCCCATGCTGTGCAGTATAATTCATCTGCCCCTCCACATTTTGTCAGGTCCTTGGCTGTCTGGTTGCTCCCCGGACACATGTAGAAGGTTATTTGTCGCAGAGTGCCTCTTTTTAAAATATGGGAGCGTTCTGGACACTGTGGGTTAGCAGTATGAGGCAAGGTGCACCCTCATTTGCTCCTTCACTCAGTTTCTCTTCATGAAAGGGCAATCCCCCACATCCCAGGATCCCCTGTCCAGGTCACATAGGTCAAAAATGAACTGTGGCCACTAGACATCAGGCACTATCTCTCTCTCAGTAACGTTTAGGTCTTCTCCAGTGACAGTGCTAATCATTTCCCATCTTACTCTCTGTGGCTGGTGGGTATTCTGTAGGCTGGTGATTGTCACCATCAGGGCCAGTAGGCACATAAGTAGCTTAGCCTCAATCTGAAATAGCCAATGAACACAAACACTCCTCAAGGGATCAGACCCCTTGGTATTGTTGTTATGAGAATTATTTTTCTTTCCTCTGAAGACCAGCTGTGACCACCAAAGAGTCTCCCTTTCCTTATTGGTCAGGGGCCCCTTGATTTCTTGTGCATTCTCCTATGTGTGCAGGGAGGGAAGAAATGTAAGATTCCTGGCTAGTAGTCATATTGTTGCCATCTCCCCAATGGGGAATATACATCTATATCCCCTCCCCAAGGTGAGTAATGCATCAGGGCCTCTCCATTGACATGTGAATGGATCCTTCTATTTAACCTGTAAATGTGGTCTAGGGCTCAGATGTTCCCAGTGTCTTTGGAATCTAGACAAATTTAAAATATCAAGTGTAAGAAGGGCTAATTGTAATCAATTACAGATCTTGGGTACTTTATAGCCAGTAAGCCACTATCATGTGTCAATACACAGATTGATAGAAATGAGTTTAATTAATATGTAAGAGTTATCCAATAAGAACCTAGAGCTAATGGGCCAAGCAGTGTTTTAATTAATACAGTTTCTGTGTGATTATTCCAGTTCTGGACAGCCGGGATGAACAAGCAGCTTGTTGCAACAATTGGCGCACCAACATGGGTAAATATATTTACATTAAAAACCTGAGAAAGCTTAAAAAGTAATCCTAGACACACACACACACACACACAAAAAAAACGGAGTTAAGCATGGTTTGGTAGCAGCATTTTCTTGGATGGGGTTTGTTTGCTAGAAGCATACAAAAGCATGACTCCTTTAAGAAAGGTTTTCCTGACTCAGTTGTAGCAAAAGAAAAAAAAGTCATACAGTTTTAAAATGTAGGCTTTCTGGGATGTGCTGCCAGTGCAGTTGCTGACTACTGGCTCTTTCGGGAGACAAAGTATTTGGATAGGGTTTGTGAGCAGCAAGCTGCGGCTTGCTTGATGACAACTTAGCCTGGCTGTGTATGTGGAAGTGAGACAGTGTGTGTGGATCAGAGGCACAAGTGGCTCTGCCATGCTGGACAGGGTGGGGCAATCACAATACTGTATTTGATCTAGTAATTCCACAGCTTAAATTTTAAGAAGGGCTTCACATTTTAAAAAGCTCTCCTGGACAGTAAAGAATTGCAGATATGCAATAAAGACAAATCCAGATGAGTCATGGTGTTAGATATATGTAGGCTTTGGTGAGAAAATAAAAAGAGAACAGAGAATCATAAAATAAAGTTAATGCTTTAAAATTAAAAAAAGGTAAAGACTTTAAAGAGACAGTACAGATAGCCATAGATTAAAAGGAGTAAAGAAAAATAAACCATATAAAAATGGAAAATTCACAGAGAGTCTGGATTATGTTTATTATTTGCTATCTTTGAATTTTTTGACTGTGAAGGAGTTAAGTACAGAGAAACATTTTATTGTATGGACTGCTAAGTTAAACCAACAAAAAGATATCTTGATCCCAAAATTTGAGACTAAGGATATGTTACTTTGGAAAAGATGTTCTTCTTTTGTTTTCACAGAAGATGAGAACCTGTGGATTGCTTCCAGATCAATATGGTTTGATGGAATAAGACCTCCTGAAAGGTTGTTGCAAACACCCCCACAAAGAAAGTTCTTTGCCCAATAAACAGCAGGAAGCAGCTTGGAGAAATTATGCCCATATTCCCAAATATTGTCTATAAATGTTTGTTTGCATTTAAAGGGGAATATGATATAAATATGAATAATTTGCATTGGTATGAATCTTGGTTTATTGCTACAAATTTGAGGTCGGTTTTATTATATGTTTATTTCTGCTTGATTAAGGTATTGTGATTGTGTAGTTCAAATGTGTAGTTCATGTTATGTGTAATTAAGAAATATAGGTTAATAGATAGTCATCTGTAATAGTCGTGCTTGTAGTCATGTTAAATTTTCTAGATGAAGAGAGATGAATTTCAGATAAATAGGTATTCTTCAAATCTTTCAGAGGTCTTCAGAATATTGTATTTTAAAGATTTAAGAATTTAGGACTTTTCATGACAGTGAGACACATCTGCTCCTGCCAGAGGTATACCTAAATTCTTTTCGCTTTCCACTGCCAGACACTCTATCCTTTCCCAAATTTAATGGGAAAGAGGTTAGCACTGAGTACTCAGAGGGCAAGAAGCGCAATAGCCTCCCATGTCTTGATAGAATTACTGTTGGACATCTCCAGCCCCCTTGACTACCCACCCAAATTTTTGCCCTTTTATGTTACATCTGGGTCAGCTTCTTTACTAAAATGATACACAAACAAACAGAGCCTCCTTGCTTGTTACTGGGAGAGCATCTACCCTCTGGATCTTGAGAATCCCATGGAGCAATTAGTGGAGATCTGAGTCACATGGTTTTCTTGCTGCTTGGTGGGAATATCAGCTCATTTCCTACTTTAGAACAGCTGACATCAAAAATGGAAAGCAGAAAGTCAAGTTACAAAGGAGTCTTGTCTACTAGCATATGCTGCCTTCTTGAAATAGGAGGATGCAGAAATTCAGCCCATGGGAAATTTCTATTTGAATAGCTCAGTCAAAAAGGCTAGATTAAGACAAAACCAGGAAAACAGTGTTCATTATAACTAGCCTAACTATAAGTCTGACTATAACTACTCTAACATGAGCTGAATTTTAAGAGTGGTAACCAATGAAATTCTGTTGTAGAAAACCATAATTTTACTGTTATAAGACCCAGAAATGAGACAATTACATCAATCTAAGACTAAGACAGTTGCTTGGTGACCACATACATATGTTTAAAAGTTCACAAGGGACATCAATAACAATGAATACAACATCTATATTTGTGACATGGGATATTGAACAAACATAGGTTTCCCTCGAAAGAGGACAGAAATGAGCAAGCTAAACTTGGTGTGTGCATTCTCATAAAATATCTTAAACTGCTAGAAGCAGTGAAGTAGAGCTAACATAGCACAGTCTACCATAGTCCACTGTATTACACTTCAACACAAATATATTTCAAAAGAACAAATATCTATATGGAGATCTGATTAAATATATTAGTCAAGGTTGCCTAATGAGGAGGGAGGCAAATAGTGCTAGTAAAAAAAATAGGTTAATAAAATAGGAGGGACAGAATAAAATGAAAAATAGTGTGATAGATTTCAATAATGAAAGCAAATAAACATATAACTATCAATAGAGCGCAGTTTACCCCATTACCTGTATGTAAGTGAAAAAACTGGAAGAAACATAACATCTATTTTAAACCAGAAATTAAAAAATAGGCAGTCTTAGATGCCAAATAGGTAAGGTGATGTCTATTTACGGGGCACATGTTTTCTTCTGTTGTGGTGGTAAGGGAATGTCTTCATGGGACACATGTTTTTTTTTTTACTGTTGTTGCTTATTGAATGTTACCCATATTGATGCACTCTTAATAGGGGTCCTATTACTTTGTACAGCAATTAGGTATAATATCTAAAATATGATCAGAAGACAAAGGGAAAGTCAATGCAACTTAAAGTACAGGTTTGAAGTAGCAAACTCTCTGGGTTCACCACAGTCTAACTTGGGTATATGAAGAAGGGAGAAAGCATAAGAAATTTCTCTTGCAGAAGTTTCAGTAAAGCTGCCCATTTCCAAGCAGACATTGTAGTTCTAGCATGTTTTCCCCTTTTCCAGGGTGTAAGTCATATCTGGGATTTTCAGTCAGCCTGCCAGGGATTCCCTTCATCCCCAAAGGTGACTGAGGTGGGACATTGTGATATCTCAACCCACCTTAGCTGCTATTGGCTAGAGCAGACTTCTTTTTTGACCAATCAGGGCTGAAGGGTGTGGCCCTCCATTGTTCTGGCAGGCTACATAAGCAGAGTACTCAGAGCCCTGGGCCAGTCTGCTAGAAAGTTTCAGCATGGCCAAGGTGGCCAGGAAACCTCCAAAACCTAGTGCAGATGCAGCACCCTCGGCCTCAAAGTCCAATATGAAGAAGAAGAAGCAGCAGAAAACTGCCCATCATCCCAAGCACAGCTCCACGCAGAAGACCCAGTGATACTGCCATTGCCAATGTGCTCGGAAGGTGAGAGGACGTAAGCTTATGCCCTCTTTTCAAAGCTCTCCCCGCCAGCAAGTCTTTCACTGGCCTCCTATAAACATGTCCTCTACCTCTGCCCCTTCTCAGAAATCTCCCTCCACATGAATATCTATCTTTTCCCAAAGCGGTGCCCTTGTGACCTTAGTGTGTGATCCTTTCAGGTGACCAGAAAGGAGAAGCAATCCTTGCGAATGACTACTAGAAAAAACGCTTCTATGAAAATCATCCGAACGAGAATTCCTAAGGGACCTCGTGAAACAGCGCCGCCAGAACTCATTCACGAACAAACGGGTGAGAATGATGACAACCTGAGTGCCCCTGATCAGGGTCAACTGGGCTATGACCCCTCCCGCATTTGTGTTGAGGACCTGACCAGCTCCTAGCCTCAAAGCACAGATGAAGATCTAAGAAACACCAATGCATAGGTCTGGCTGCTGAGTCATGGCCAGTGATGTGAAAAGTACATTTCAACACAAAGCCAAGTTCATGGTGGTGCCAATAAAAGTAAACAGATGAGAAAATGTGTATGTCACTCTCAGTCTCTGATTGTGGAAAAGGAGAAGAAGGACAGGAAGGGTGGGTAGATAATAACAGAGGAACACTGGATTCTACAACACTGAGAGTGGGATGAACAACCCCTTGAGAAGCAGACACTGGAGGGTCAGAACTGATCTAACACAAATGTCCCCTTGAAGATTTGTTCCACAGGGTAGGAGGGACAGCCCTGGATAGGGCTGGGGCATGGTCTCAGGATATGGAGTGTATAGGAAATGAGGTGCGGGTGGCAGTTCCAGTCCCAACTTAGGCAGCACATCACTGTTATGATACATACGTTCTTATGGTATTTCTCATAGTCCTCTATGTGATCTCACTTCCATGTAATGAGATTGATGGCCACCTTAATTGTCATCATAGAACCTTCATCCAGTAACTGATGGAAGCAGATGCAGAGACCCATAGCTAAGCACTGGGCTAAGCTCCTAGAGTCCAGTTGCAGAGAGAAAGGAATGATAATATGAGCAAAGGGGTAAGAACGATGATGGGATAACCCACAACAGCAGCTGAACCGAGCTAGTGGGAGCTCACTGACTCCAGACTGACAGCTGGGAAAGCCGAAGACGACTGAACTATGCCCTCTGAATGTGGGTGCCAGTCGTGAGGCTTGGGCAGATTGTGGGAGCACTAGCAGTTGGACCATGATTTTCAGAGGGTTTTGAGACAGGGTTTCTCAATAGCTATGGAGCCAGTCCTAGTGCATGATCTGCCTTTTTGGAGCCCATTCCCTATGGAGGGATACCTTGTTCAACCTAGATACAGATAGGAGGGCCTTGGTACTGTGTAGATGTAATGTGACAGACTTTGTTAACTCCCCATGGTAGGCCTCACCCTCTCTGCGGAATAGATGAGGATGGGGTGGAGGGAAAGTGAGGGAAGCTGAAGGAGGAGAGAGAGGGACAACTGGGATTGGTATTAAAAATTGTTTGTTTGTTTGTTTTTTAAAAAAGTCCCGCAGTAGGGCCAAAGACCTCTTCCTATTGCAAGGTGCCAGTATACTGCAAGGGTAGTAATGGTGACTGGGAGCTGCAAGTCCAGCACTGATTCAGCCAACTTCCTTCAGAAAATTGGGGAGGAGCAGGACAGTGAGGAGTGGTCTGCCAACCAGGGCTGGCCACCAAGCAGGCAGTAGTGTCTACAGAAAAATGTAAAACAATTGACCAGCCTTTCCAAATAGCTTTCCTGTGTATTTTCTAATGCTGGTTTTAATCCCTTCAGGAAGTATCCTGAAACTGATTTCTCAAAGAATTGTTTTTAAAAGAGTAACGTGGGGCTGGACAGATGCCTCAGTTGCTTCCTTACAAGAATGAGGACCTGAGTTTGAGCCCTCAGAACCCACATTAAGTAATAAAAATTACTCATCAGCTGGTTGTGGTGGCACATACTTTTAATCCCAGCACTCAATAGCCAGAGGCAGGTGAATCACTATGCATTTAAAGCCAGCCTGGTCTACATAGAAAGTTTCAGGCCAATCAAGGCTACATATAAGAACCTGTCAAGAAAAAATAAATTAATGAAAGTTTAAAAATCTCTGTGTGGTGTTGAATACTTTTGTTTATAGCACTGAGGGTGGACCTTTGAGTCTTGCTGGCCAGATAGTCCTCATATTGGTAAGTTCTAGACCAATAAGAGACGTTGGTGTGTTTGTGTTTTTGTTTTCATGGGTTTTTGGTGGACAGCACATGAGAATCTACAGTCAAGGTTGTAATCTAGCATCTACACACTTGAACATATGTGTGCACACATCCTTTACCCACACATCTGTACTCTCAAAAACACATGCATGAATGTACACAAACAAAGAATAAAATGTAAATACTTTAAATGTGTACATTTTGATGCATTTTGCCATATGTGTACACACATGTAGTCATTACTGTAAGAATGCACATGCCCACAACTTCCCTCAGTTTTCTTACAATTGTCGTCTCCTTTATGTGTTGCTGCTGTGAAATATGGACATTTAGACACTTCACACCTCATAAAGCAAGGTGCTGCATTTGACTCTGAATTTTGGAAAATGGAAGTTTTAAGTTTGGTAGCTCCATTTTGTAGGATCTTTAAATGTTTTAATTTCAACTATTCTTTGTGAATTTGCTATATGTAGAAACATATCCACCTCACCCCTCCTTCTAACTTGTCCTAGACACCACTACAGTTTCCCCTAAAATTGACAGCCTCTTTTTTCTTTATAAACATCTGTGATCAGTACTGCCCATATATACATAGATATAAGGCCACCAGTTAGGGAAAACCTACAAGAGCCCACAACCCTAACTAAAACCAACTGTCCTTTCCCCTACAGCCATCAAATGCCCACAGTGTTCAGCTAACAATACAGCTTTGGGAGCCCTCTTCTATGCATTCTGGAATACTGACTGGATTGATGGGCAAGTCTTATGCAGGCAGCCACAGTTGCTGTGAGTTCATGAGTACAGTGGTCCTATAATACCCAAAAAACACTAATTTGTTCTGGTTCTCCCTAACTTCTAGTTTTCACGGTCTTTCTTCTATCTTTTAATCTTCTCTGCGCCTTGGTGGTAAGGGAATGGTACAGATGTTTCATTTGGGGCTGAGCACTCCACTGTCACTTACTCTCTATCATTGACTAGCTCTGAGTCTCCCTATTGACTTCTGTCCATTGTAAGATGTTTCTTTGATGAGAGATGAAAGCAAAACTAATCTATGGATACAAAGTCAAGTATTTTTTTTTTTACTCTTTGTTACCTTCTTTGGTCTGAGTATATTTATGTACATGTATGCACATGCAGGATGGAATGCCTGCTATGTGAGTCCCAGGAATTGAATTTATGTTGTCAGGCTTGACAGCAATTTCCTTTACCCATATCTCTGTCCCTAGCTTTATATATTTTGAGGGCAGTTTGATTCTATGTTAATTTAGCAAAATTACAGTAGAAGATCATATGACCTCCAGTTGAGCATGTGACCTTTCCAGCCACTGATTTTTGGCCAGCTTTAAAGGGTCAGGTATTAATTCTTTCCTGTGGAGTGGCCTGAAATACAATCAGAAAACTGTATGCAGGCTACTAGGAGAGAAAAGTCATCAATGGGATTTCTCTGCAAGCTAAAATAATTACCAGATGGCTGAATATGCCCAATGGCGCAATGATGGTTGGTAAGTTAAAGGCTTTTTAATGTGCTGTAGCATGAGTAATGGCATTACGTGATGAACATAAGGACAAGATTGGGGGTTGTGCCTGAGTCAGTGATCTCCACAGGAGCAACCACCAAGTGAGTTGGCCCAAGTCAGAAACATCTATAGGACCAGGTCCAAACCAGGGACCTACACTTGAGCAGGCCCAAGCAAGGAACTTTCTTCAGAGCCAGCTCAAGACAGCAAAGTTCAGTGAAGCAACGCCAAATACGCAACCTCTGCTCAGTGATGTCCACGGGAGCAAGCATAAAGGAGACACCACCGAGGGAGCAAGCCTAAGCCAGAGACCTCTGCTAGACCAGACCCACACCAGAGACTTCTGAAGGAGCAGACATGAGCCAGCAACCTCTACCAGAATAGGCCCAACCCAGTCACCTCCACACGATCAGGCTTGAGCCAGGAACCTCAGCAGCAGCAGGCCCAGGCAAGTGAACTGCGTGAGGACAGGTCCAACAGACCACGAAGACTGCAAAACAACCCCCAAGAGCTGGAGCCCCAAGCAACCTCCAAGAATGCCAAGTGACCTCCAGCATGACCAGAAACATGATCCTGACTACACCATGAGGAGCAACCCTCTGAGACTTGGATCCACTAGCACCTGAAATATTGATCACCAGAGACACATCCCTAACTACACCAATCATAGGAAAAGATGGGCAGACAGGGTAAGAACACAGTCAACACCACAAAGAGCAACATGACAACAACAAAAACTAGTGCCTCTACAATGGCACTACTTGAACACTCCAATATATATGAAGGAGAAGAAACAGACCTAAAAATAAATTTAGGAGAATGTTTGAGGCTCTTAAAGAGGAAATTAAAGAATCCTTTAAAGAAATGAAGGAAAAGACAGACAAAAATTGGAAGAAATCAATAAATCCCTTAAAGAAAATCAATAAAAAAAAATCTATCAAACAGATAAATAATTTAAGACTTGAAAACTAAAATAGAGACAATAAAGAAAATACAATCCAAGGAAATTCTAGAAAAGGGAAATATGAGAAAACATCAGAATTACACCTGACTTCTCAATCATAACAAAAAAGCCAGAAGGTCTTGGTCAAACATTATGCAGACATTAAGAGACCAGGGATACCAGCCCAGACTATTATACCCAGCAAAACTTTTAATCTCCATAGAAAGACAAAACAAGTTGTTCTATTAAAAAACCAGATTTACCCAACACCTAGCCACAAGCCCAGACCTACACAAAGTACTAGAAGGAAAACTCCAACTCAAGGAAGTTAGCTACATTCACAAAAACACAGACAATACATGATCTCACAGCAAAAAATCCCAAATAATGGGAAAACACACACAATAACATCACCAACAATGAAAATTAAAATAACAGGAACTAGCAATGTCTGGTCATTAATATCTCTTAATATATAAATGGACTCAGCTCACCTATAAAGACATAGGCTAAAGACTATATATGAAAACTGAATCTATCCTTCTGCTGCAAACAGGAAACACACCTTAACCTCAAAGACAGATATTGCCTCAGAGTAAAAGTTTAGGAAAAAATTTTCCAATCAAATTGACCTAAGAAATAAGCTGGTGTAGCTATCCTAATATTTAACAAAATAGACTTCAAACTAAAATCAATCAAAACAGACAAAGAAGGTCATTTTATATTAGTCACAGGAAAAAAATCCATCAAGAGAAAATCTCAATTACGGAACATCTATGCCACAAATACGAGGGTACCCTCAAATGTAAAGGAAAAACTATTAAAGCTTAAATCACACAGTGAACCCCACACACCAATAGTGGGAAACTTTA